TTACCTGTCAGCCGAGTGAATTCACAAAGATTCTGTTATATAATTTATGTTATAGATAGGCAATAATAATGCTATTTAAATTAGTCTTTATTCTTTCTTTAGTCTTTAAGTCTTTATTTTATTAAGTTTACCTAATACAGGGTTTGTGTTTCTCTTTATCTCTGTAATAGTTTGGATTATTAGTTAGTACCTAAAGTCTAATATGGTGTAAGTAGTCGCTAGATTTTATAATTCCTTGTTATCGCATTGGGTCCTAAACCTGTAATGTTAACTTGTGTGTGTAATAAATAAATAAATAAATAAATCTTTTTGGCGTCGATTTCCGCTTTTACTTGTTCTACCAGATCATAGAGAGCATCTTCTGTTCCTCGTTGAGGTAGGAATCCATACTGGTTTTTATGCAGAGTTGGAAGGATGTGCCATTGGATTCTTCCTATCATCAATCTTTCAATTATTTTGCCAAATACGGATAGTAGCAGCAGCAGTAGGCACTTACAGGCTGTTTATGATGTCGATGTCTCTATTGATAGAACTAAAAAAAAATAAAAAAAAATTACAGACAAATTGGATTGACTGTAGTGGAAAATCATAGCTATTATTCTACATAGGAACCTACAATAGGGTAGATGCCTAATTTTTATTTTAATGTCCGTCTGGTAGATTATTTTAAATCAATACACACGTATTTTTTATTTTCTTACGAGAACGAATACTTTACGAATACGACGATATATTGATTTCAAATGTCGCGTGACGTCACTTCTATGTACATTTTATACGTAGAAATGACGTTTTATCCCCCACTCCTAAACTTTGATTCGTTTTATCTAAGTATTATTTCATAATACGACAAAATAAAAAATACGTGTCTAATATTTTTTCATTACCTAACTGACGGACTAACATTATTAATTTTTATACCCCATCATCATCCAATTGTTTAATCAATCCAATTTGGGACGACTAAAATGTTGCGTTAGAATTGATAAACAAAGGTGCAGACGTAAATTTTTTAAGTTTTGACTGCCAATAGAAAACTGTTGAAGGTAAATTCTCCGTTAACATCGGTCACTTGTGACCTTCGCTTGACCGCAATATTCTCGCGATTGGCTCAATCAATTTTGATGCAGTTTTCAGAAATGTGTTCGTTACACTTAAAATCGTATTTATTGAAAACACATTATTCGAATTATAATACTTATTTGTTTCAGTACCTACATGCTAGCAGACATCGGAATGAACAAGTTTTCAGCACCAGAAGTGAACTACTCGCGTTAATTAGTTATTAATTATTATATAGAGCTTTATAAGATTATGTTTATTGTAAGATTTATTTTATATTTTAAAATTAAATATATTAAAATCAAAGTAGCAACGTCGTCCGAATATGTTCGGATGCTATCAATTCTATGAATATTTCAATCAATTTGTGTTTTTTTTTAATAGTATATTAACACCAACCCCCGTTTTATAAAAAAAGCGTATTTACCTAAATGGTTTTTTTTTGTGAACTGAGAATAAGAAAATTATTGGAAATTAGGTAGAGCTGCGTAATGGCAGTCTATCGCTGCTAGAACGTCGCGGGTCACGTGCGACTCGCGCATGCGTATTGATTTTTGCCAGAAGATTCGAAAATGAAGGTTTGAAATTCGCGTTGGCTATGCGGAGATGCGGCGAGCGCGCATGCGCCAGCGAAGCCTATCTCCGACAGGTTCGGATCGGACCTTCCGTGCGCGTAAAGGTGGGTACAGATTAGTGCAATGCAACATGTAATGTAATATTCTGCCTTACATTGCATGTCCCCTGCTGCCTTGTAATTGCGGCGCGCGCGGTACGCGCATTGACTACGAATCATTCCAGAACATCTGTTCCTGCATTTCGTTACAAACACTAGCTCTCGTCACACGTGTTCTTTTCTTTGCCCACATCACTACTTAAATCGATATACACATATACACAAATCATGGAGTCTATAAAGACAGCCTTCTTGCTCTGACGATTATCAGTGCTTCATTGTTAATCATGACAGTGACTCGTCATCACTCCACGCACCCTCTTTCACCGCCATGATCGTTGCGCATGCGAACGAAACGAACGACCGTCCACGGCTAAGTCCTGCGCACTCTGCGCCCCCCGTTGTGTTCGTACTAAAAACCGACAAATCTCGAATCGAGCCGCGCATGACTTGTAAAACTCGGAGCGTGCGCGATCCAGGCACAGTTCGTGCGCGCGAGGCGTCCACACTATGGGAATCCTGTTACATTACATGATACATTGCAGCAATGTGGACTGTGAATGTGGACTTCAAATTCTTGCATTGCATGTTGCATTACATGTTGCATTGCACCAATCTGTACCCACCTTTACACATGCTCAAAGAGTTTATTTAGTGTAGGAGAAGTATAAGTGTAGTACAATAAGTACAGCACATGCTTTTATTATGTCAACCTGTACCAAACTATGCAACCTATATAATTATATTGATGTCTACCGTTAACGAGTGACTGACTAGCTGACTGACTGAGAAACAATGCTCAGCTAAAATTACTACACCTAGACGCGACGGGGGTCATCCCAACGTCCTGGCTGGGGGCGTGAGGACGCACGATCCAGGCAGATGCCTGTTTCGCCGGATTTACTAGGTGCCTGCAACAGTAGGCGAGGGGTTGGAGTAGTCGGGCTACTTGCGGGGCCCGATGTAGTCCGGAGGTTTGCACCGCTATGAGCCGCGCTCGAGCCGTGGCAAGCCAGGCGAGCAGCGAACTGTTAGCGTCATGTGGTCGAGTCCGGTGGAGCGGAGTCTCTACAAACCCGACTAGCGCGGGCGGGCGGGAGATCGTCACGTCGTCCGATGGGCTACACCTAGAAAGCTGAAGGTTAGTATTTATATTGGGAAGGAGTGAGGAACACTAGGATAATTTTATTACTATTTCCGTTACAGTTGGAATTATTTTCATACATGAATGCATGAAATATATTGACTTTAGCGACTTTGAATGTAGTAAGTAGTAATATACCAAAATAACACTTAAATCGTCCTTCCTTTGGTATTAATGGCAAATTATAAATAGCCTTTTTTCGTAACAGAACTCTGTGTCGTCCCTTGAAGAGTACATGTAGATATATATGACTCAAACTCAAACTAATGTTCTAGGTACGACTGGACTTTGATTGATGTCTATTTCACATTGTTTCTACAGGGTGTCCAAGAAGGCGTCCAACTGGATTCCCACGATGCCCCAAGTTCTAACAGTACTCAGAAAAATATTTAAAAAAAATCCACCCCATGTACTTACAGAATTATACTGATTTCAAAAAAAAAGGGGAAATGAGCACCCTGTGACATACTTTTGAATGCTGTGACTGCTAATGCTGATAATTTCGATATTTCTTGGAGGTTTTGTAATCTAGGGTATTGCTGTGTCTAAATAGAATGTAAAAATAAAGTACTTATTGTACCATTTTAAAATAAAATATTATTTTAACTAAAG